AGCAGATGCTCTTCGAACGAGTCTAAGATCCGTCCAGAAATTGCGCTGATTGTTGATGCTTTCGTTGCCCCTATCGAGCTATTGCTAAGGTCGATTTGAATGGAAGTACCGCGAGTACGACGGGGTTCGAATAATACTGGCTTTTGTCTCGGCAATCGATTACGATGTTGAGAGTGCAGACTCGCAAACGTGTTTCATCCCACGACTGATATATTTCTCTCTTCTGTTCTTTACTTTTTGTTCCTCACTCCCCCCTCCCTTGGCCTCGATTTCTGCGTTGTTGATTCTGCATCGCTCATTGTGAGTCGGAAGATTTGACGTATAGGTAGGAGTTTGAAATCGAACTTGGAGTGATCGATTAATTACAGTACAAATAATTGGCCAGACGTGTGAAATTAATTAATCAAATCGACGCCGGAGTAACGGAATTAGTTTACTGTGTAACGATCGAACAATCTTGTCGTTCGACTCTGACGACGTACTTCCGCGCTCCATACTCAAGAATTATATCTTAGTCCCCGATTGATGCGATGCGAGTCAAACGTTCCACGATTTCCATCTCTCCGATGTGTTTCAATGTTACATTTCTGTAGGTATCTTAGTTGCCTTTAAAATGCAGAATTAATTACTAATCCGCTGTCGACAAACCACGATCTGTGGTAGACGATTTGTGTCAAATCTGACATGCTAACGAGTACTATATTAAGGATCCCTCTGTTCAAAGAATCCACTTCAATCCACTTCACAAATCGAATGCACCGAGCCATCTACGAAGCTGACTACCTCCTTCCAGAGATCGCGCGAACTAAACGAGGGGATGGCTCTCATCCAGGTGGCAAAATCCCGGCTAATTAGTAATCGTCCTCCGCCTGCGTTAAATCCGCAGGTGCTCGTCGTATCTAGACAGGACGCCGAGCGTGTAATTCGGATGCGCCGGATTATCCGCGCGACGTTTCAACGTTGATCCTGCAAATTAAGTCGACTGCTCGACGCGGCCAAGCTGTTAGAGGCAACCTCGTCACCGTGAACGAGGGAACCGAAGGGTGGCCGTGGAGGCGGTGGAGAGGGCTCGGTCCTGGAGGCAGGTGGGGCAGAACGGGAACGTAATCGCAGCGTACTTTGGGTGATTATAGGCAATCGTAAAAGTACCAGAAAGCGGCTGGTAAGAGGGAACAAGACAGGGAAGAGGGAGGCAGGAATGAGGTGGGACGGAAGGAAGGAAGGAAGGTGGAGACGAGGGGTGAGGACGAGGGATACACGGGCCCATGACGGTGCCACGTCGCCACCCCGACGTGTACGCTCGAACGCGTTGCGTAATTAGCGACTGCCTCTCCGGTTTTGTGGGTGGGTGAGGGGGTTGTTGGGCGGCTTGGATGGCGAGGGTAAAGTGGGCGCACGGTTATCGTGCACCGGGATTGGGGGCGCCCCTGAGAACGCGTTCGAGCAACTCCAGCGACCGGTTGAAGCCCACCGCGTGTGCGTGAGCACACGTGCGATCTACAGGGTGTTCGTACAGATTTTCGGGGACCGTTTTTGTTAGCGTATAGTTCGACGGTTGTTGCATTGTTATTCGTAACGTTTTGATGATGTTCCAGCGTCGGGGATATTGTTACGTGCCGAGTTACGGTTAGATACACTTGAAGTGATAACGATCCCATTGTGACTTCTGACGTTCCACTTATGGTACAAAATGTTGTTTTGATTTGATAAAAGATTGGCAATTTAATGAGGTTTTCCCATGTTAACATACTTACATACGTTGATATAGTCTTGGAAATCTAGATTATCTTCTAAATTGTTTAATCAACAAAATCAGTCTAGATTATCTTCTAAATTGTTTAATCAACACACAAACGATTCTTCAAACGGTAAGACATACTATAAATGTCTCGTTAAAATCATTTCGGATTCAACTTACGCTGTATGATCGTACCTCTTGCTCGCGAATGTTCGGTCGTGACCAACTCTCATCGGAATTAACGCGGACGTTTGTAGCTACTTCGAGGAAGCCTCTCGTACGAACGGCTCGTAACGATCAATTATCGGGATATAACGCTAGACTGGGAATCATTACACTGCGACAGCGGGTTTTACTACGTAAACAACGTCTTGGAGGAAGCGATTCCAGCGTTAGTCGGCCGCAGATCTGATTTTCCTCGTGGAGAGGGGCGAATTATGCGGTCCGTGGCGTCGACACTAATCCTTGTCGAAACACCCCCTGGCACCAGCAAAGGAAATAGAAGGGTGAAGAGGGGGGGAGGGCAACGAATCGAGAACCAAGAGGGGGGGTGGCATAGACCGACGTAGACGCAATTAATGCAGAGAAACCAGCCGCGGACGTCGGGGGAGTTTCGAGGAGAGCATCGAAGCTATGCCACGCCGTGAGACGTAATGACTAATTGAGATTGGAAGGGAGAAAGGGAATAATACGATCCGGCTGGTCACGGTAAAACGCACTTTTTTTCTCTCTCTCTCTCTTCCTTCATTCTTCCGTTCCCTTCTTCCCTTTTCTCTAGCCTTCGCTTCACTCCCTCGTGTCGATTACAAAGGATCTCTCGCCTGCAGGCACACCAATGGAATTACGGGGTACGCTGTCGCGTAGCTCCCGATCCCCGTCACGATTTTATTAATACGATCGATTTATCGGGCGGCGCTCAAGTATCTCGAGTAGACCGATTTACCAATTTCTTTCGTTCGTTCCTTTTGGCTAGCGATTACTCTGCGTAACGAATATTCTTGACAGCGTTGATTGGCTTATCTGTTTCAGAAGCGAAGTAATTTGTCAGATTCGGTCATCTGCGTTTGAAAACGGTCCATTTGACTCGCTGTCAACGACGACAGTTCAATGGCTACGATTCTCTACGAAGAGAATAACTTTCTCTCTGTTAAAAGGAAAGTTCGTTCTGAAGGAAATTCGTGATTGTGTTTTGGAACGTATATTGGATTCGATATTGGGTGATGGGTGATTCGAATAACTTCGCTTCGTTGCTGATAAACTTCTAGTACGTTTAATTGCTCTGTCCCTGTTGTCGAAGAAGCGAGAAAGAACGGAATAAGCGCGAGAAATCACGGAAGGCAAGCCGAACGTGTACTACGTGTGCACGCTGAGACGCGAGGAACGAAGTAAATGACCGAACAACAACTTGTCCCGCGATTCAAAGGGGTTGAACGATGTCGAGGTCCATCTTACCGGGACCAACGAACTCGCCGTAATGCGTCCCGAGGCTGCTTCCAACGCGTATTCATCAAGTAGCGAGACAATTCCGCCGCGTGTTGCGACGCGATTTGTCACGATATCGCGGGAACGGTTCACGGCATCGATATTGTGCTGTGCACAATCCGCATCCAAGAGTGAAACAACAAGGCGGGTAAGGTAGGAATGAGTAAGGTAGGAAGAGGAA